ATGTGGAAGATTGCATTCAGCGGGATCATTTTGTAGGGTAAACGTTAAATGACCAAAATAAATAAATAAATAATAAAAGTAATTTTTTTCAAAAATACTTTAGATCTTAAATCTTTAGATTTAGAATAACATTCTGAAATAAAGAACTTCGTAATAAAGAATATATGATAGCTGCCAACAAGCACGTTCTATGCAGAGTTTAACAGAATTCTTGGTTGTTGTTTTTTTTTTTTAATGACACCTGTAAGTTCAGAATTTTAATGGCATGAACTATGTTTTTTACTCATTGAGTAAACCTTTACGGCTAGCCCTCAATTTATGACCATTCATTTAGCAACTGTTCAAAATTTCAACAGCACTGAAAAAATGACTTACAACCAGTCCTCAGACTTATGACCTACGGTCGCCTGGTCATGATTTGGGCACTTGACAACTGGTGGGTATTTACAATGTCTCCAGCATTCCAACGTCACATGTTGACAATTTGCAACCATCTCAGCCAGCTTCCAACAAGCAAAGTCAATGCAGAAACCAATAGGAGGTCACAGGTCAGGGTCACCTGATGTCTCGCTTAAGGACCATGGCAAAAAAGACTAAAATAGAGTGTGGTCTATGATGCCTCAGTGACTGCACCGTTTAACAATGAATTTTCCAGTCCCAGTTGTGATCGTAAGTCAAGGGGCACCTGTAAACTCCTTACTTCTGTTTACTTTCTGGGGGGTTTTTTTTGGCTTGCTATTGGCCTTGCATGTGGCTTACTGAGCAGATGTGGTACAACTATCTATAAACATTTAGCAATGGTAATAGGGGATTTACTGCAAGATGGATCACAAAGCAGGTTTCTTTATCCTGTAGCAACCCTAAGATGATCTAATGCAGGGGTCTTCAAACTTGGACCTTTTATGACTTGTGAACTTCAACTCCCAGAATTCCTCAGCCAGGCACGCTGGCTGAGGAATTCTGGGAGTTGGAGTCCAGAAGTCATAAAAGGGCCAAGTTTGAAGATCCCTGATCTAATGGAAGGAAGCATGCTTCAGCTATGGAATACAGCAACCTTGCTGAAATGAATGAAGAGAAAGAATTATTTCATCCAGATAGGTAATTGGAGGCCAATTATTATGCCATTGTAGCAACTGGCAACTGTTTCAGAGTTTTTTTTCCATGAATGACTCTCCTACTACTTTTTAAACTTACGGATCTAACATATGAATCTTCCCCGATCTGGTAAATTTTAGATGTATTGTAATCACAACTCTTATTGTTCCAGGCCACTCCAGATCTGGAATTCTGGTAATTGTTAGGAAAAGCCACTCTGTGTCATGGGAAACTCACATCTGCATTTTTTTTTAATTGATACTTCCCAGATGTTTGAACAGTACAAGTCAGGATTATGCACACACTGCATTTTGGGGCTCAAGGAAAGATTGGCATCAAGCCTGCACAACAGACTTACTAAATAGAATAGAAGGGATAGAATCAAAATCATGTGAAGTATTAATACCAGTTTACAATGCCTTGATAAGGTCACACTTGGAATATTGCATCCAGTTGGGTTGCCACCATGTAAAAAAGATGTTGAGGCTCTAGAAAGAGTACAGAGAAGAACAACAAAGATGATCAGGGGACTGGAGGCTAAAACATATAAGGAACGGTTATTGGAATTGGGTATGTCTAGTTTAATGAAGAGAAGGACGAGGGGGGACATGATAGCAGTGTTCCAATATCTCAGGGGTTGCCACAAAGAAGAGGGAGTCAAGCTATTTTCCAAAGCGCCTGAAGGCAGGACAAGAAGCAACAGATGGAAACTAGTCAAGGAGAGAAGCAACCTAGAACTAAGGAGAAACTTCCTGACAGTTAGAACAATTAACCAGTGGAACAACCTGCCTCCAGAAGTGGTGAATGCTCCAACACTGGAAGTTTTTAAGAAGAGACTGGACAGCCATTTGTCCGAAATGGTATAGGGTTTCCTGCCTGAGCAGGGGGTTGGACTAGATGACCTCCAAGGCCCCTTCCAACTTTACTACTACTACTACTACTACTACTACTACTACTACTACTACTACTACTACTACTACTACTACTATTATTATTATTATTATTATTATTATTATTATTATTATTATTATTATTATTATTATTATTCTCCAGATGTGCTATAAGTCCAAAAGTTGCAATCCAACATTTCAGAAGAGTATGCCAAATTGGAACAAGCCTGCTTTGGAATCAATGTACCCCATTAACACTGGGGCAGAAAGGAGACACTGTTTCCATTATCAGATAGACAGAGAAGCACAAAAGGCCATTAATGGGGAAGACAGTGGAAGATGTGTGGATGCTGAGCCAGGCTAAAAGGGAGGAACCAAAGTTAAGACAGGTTTTTTTTGAAGGTGTCCATTGGCAGGGATAATTCTCCCTTTCCTTTCATCAGTTTTTCCTTTAGCACAGGAGTTGGCCATTAGTACAACAGATCCCTAACTAGAAAGTTGAGAAAGTGCATGATGACATAACCTGATAAGCAGTAATCCAAATGCAACACAATTCTTTCCTAGTTATATATTAAAATCCAGGATCCGCATTATTTGTTCAGTTTCCACCTGGCTGCTTTTCACTGCAACGTTTAGGAACTTTTCAAGGTGAATTTCAGCCTGAAAGTTAGTCATTACAACAACTTCTCCTAACTTGTTGTCCTCTAGATGTCTTGGGAGTCCATCTCCCATAATGCTGGCAAGGAGTTGTAGGAATTGGAGTCCTGGCACCTCTGGAGAGTGTTAGGAATCTGCACTGAAGCATTTCTCTTTTTCTTTAGTACCCCCTGAAAACATTTATAGGTGATCCTCAACTTACGATCACAGCTAGGATCAGAATTTCTGTTGCTAAATAAGCTGGTTATTAAGGGAGTTACACTTGATTTTATGAACTTTTTTGCCACAGTTGTTAAGTGAATCACACTGCTGTTAAGTCAATCCACCTTCTCCCATTGACTTTGTCAGAAAGTGGCTGGAAAACTTGGGAATGGCCATCACAGGGACCTGGGGTTTTGTAACCATGGTAAATACGTGCTAGTTTGCCAGGGCTCAATTTGGCATCACATGACCTGCAGGGACGCTGCCATGATCTTCAGTGTGAGGGCGGGTGATAATTCACTTTCCTCAGTGCCACTGTAATTTCAAATGGTACCTAAATGAATGGATGTAAGTTGAGAACTACCTATATATGTAATCCCATGGTGTAGACCAGTGGTTCTCAACCTTTTTAATGCCGCGACCCCAACCGGTCGTAAGTCGAGGACTAAACCGGTCGTAAGTCTAGGACTACCCAACCGGTCGTAGGTCGAGGACTTTCCCTGCCCAGGAGCGCCGCGCATGCGTGGTTCCGCCCCCTGCGCCGGCCGAGGCGTAGCTGGCAAGCGGCAGAGACGGAGCAGGCCGACCACCAACTGGCCCAGCCCAAGGGAAGTAAGGCACCCGCTGGAAAAGGGGGGAAAAAATGGTGGGCAAAAAAAATGGCGGGCAAAAAAATGGCGGACAGCCTTGCTTGGCGACCCCCATGAAATGGCCAATCGACCCCAAATGGGGTCCCGACCCACAGGTTGAGAACCACTGGTGTAGACTGAAGAACGACAAACTAAGAACTGTGGAATCTTAAAATTTAGGATGTAAATCTAACAAGTGACCCATATAAATACATCAATAAATTAATACGTTTGGTCTTCTTCTTTTTTATTCATTTTTTCAGAGCACAATTGAGTCTCCTAACAATATCTCCAGGACTGCAGGCTAAAAACCATAAGTTCACTTATGATAGCAAAAGGATCATGGGTCACGTGATCACCATTTGCAACCTTCCCAGCCAGCTTCTGAGACGCAAACTCAATAAGGGAAGCTGGATCCGCTTAATGACTGCGTGATCAACATAACAACTACAGTGATTCACTTAACAATCGTGCCATAAAGGTTGTAAGACTGGGTGCAACTCACTTAACAACTATCTTGTTTATCAGCAGAAATTCTGTTCCATGTTATGGTTATATCATATGTCAAGGACTAGCTGTACTGTTATTTAGAAAATCCCATGGCTACATTCCTCAAGTCATCAAAAACTGAATTTACCTCAAAGGGACTTTTAATATCCTAAGTATACGGAGGTTTCTACTTTTCAGGTTTTCTGGGACTGTTCTTCAAAGTTTTTAGTTACCATAAATTTGAATTTTTTTTATCCAAATCAAAAGTCAATGAACATAAGATCTTAAATTTTTTTTTAAGCATCTCAACTTCTAAAAAAAAATCACCTTGAATGTCTACTCCAAAGAACGTTACTGTAATTCAATCAGACAATTGAATCAAGTTGTATATTCTGATTACTTCTATCGGCTTAGTATTTTAAAAACATAGAGGAACAGTTCTAGCTATTTGTCCTTCATCTTTTCTTCTATGCAAAATGAGTTGGGTTCCTAGGAACCATTTAATTGAACACTTTTGGAATTGCAAATCCTGGTATTTTTCCCGTCATACCAGATTTTTTTTTCTGAATTTGCTGAATTCTTTAGTATCCTGCTTGGATTTGGGAGAGTTTAAAACCTCTCTCTTTTTTTTCTCCAAATCGGTAAATTAAAGCATGATTAAGCAAGGACTCACTGGGAAGAAACATTTGTTAACTGTTGCTGACAGCAATATAGAGGGATGTGTATGTTAAGCTTCTCCCCGTAGCAGGAAGTAAGTCCTAAGTAACATTGAAAGACATGCTTCTGAATAAACACACGTAGTAAGGGACTCCTTGTCTGTTCTCAAAGGCACCATTGTGAATCTTGTGGCACCTTAAAGACTAACAGATGCATAACATATGGCCCACTGCACCTGCTATTTTTTAAGGTGGCATAAGAAATTTTGCCACAGAATCTAATGAAAAGTTGCCTTTTTGCAGTGCAGACGCCTTCCTCTTGAAGAACAACATGGAATTTAGGAATGCCTGGTTGTCAAGCTCTCTGTTGCTCCAAAACATACCTGTTTTAAACACAACGACATGGGTGTGCAGTTTTTGTTTCTCTTTTAAGTAGTGATATTGCTCCTGGAGCCGGTTTACATCCATCCGGCTGGGCGGCCTGGAACCGTCTGTGGCTTGCTGGTTCGATGAATGACTCACTAGAAATAGACCACTCATATATTTATAAGCCTTCACCATCTGTTCCCATAAGAAAGACAAAATCAGACACAAGCAATGTAGGTCCCTCATCCTGGCACCATTGGAAAGACGTTGTGCCTGGGGATCTGGCTGAAGGACCACTGATTTCATTCAGCAGCGATATGTGCTTTGCTCCAAGTAAAGCAACTTTCTGAACACCTTTAAAGACAAAATGGTCTGGCTTGAACTGTTGTTGATTTAAGACTAAATCTAGGACACGGTGCCAAAATTCTACACAAAAGCTCATCTAACGTAGCCAGGTGAACAAAAAGCTGGGATGCTGGTTGACATTAAAACTGCAGTTTATACAGAGGCGGTATCCATTCTTGCCAGGGATTCTTTCTATCTTCCTTCTTCCATTTTCATCTCTTTAAGTCAGGGGTGTCCAAACTTTTTTCAAAGAGGGCCAGATTGGATGAAGTGAACGTGCTGGAGGGCCGAACATTTTTCCGAACATTCTTTGAACCATTACAATTAAATGTAAATGAATTATTTTATGCCTCTTTCCTCTCCCTCTCTTTCCTCTTTCTCTCTCTCTCTCTTTCCTTTCCCTTTCCTCTCCCCTCTCTCTCTT